CTGCGGGTGAAAACTCGTAGTCGCGCATCGTAGCGGCGAATTGCTGTGCCAACTCCGCAAGCTGGGCTGAGCTCAGCATCTGCGGAGCCGGCAGGTCGGCGCTACCGGTCGCGTCCGGAAACGATGGATCTGGACCACCTGAAGCCGTTGACTTGGCAGGGTCCGGAGATACATCCAGAGGCGGAACCTCGAGCTTATCCGAGTCCGTATGCGACTGCGGCTCTTCCTTAGTCTCCACCGACGTGGAGCCTGGCGAATCCATATCTACCTCCGCATCCCTGAAAAGCCGCTCAAACAGCCCCCGCGCCTGCGCACCAGTCGCAAGCGTATAACGAATACGACGGTCTATCCGACCAGGGCGCATCAGCGCCGAATCCAGTCTGTCGACGTGGTTGGTCTGCAGAACGAAAAATCAGCATTGCATGGGAAACTCCCCGCGGACAAATTCACATACCGTCGCAAAAAAAAGCTTCCCCTCCTCGCTCCCAATGCCGTCGATCATATTTAACAGGCCTGACAGGGTCACACCATTCCGCGGCTGATGCTCGCGGCGGACAGGCGATCCGGCGTCACTGTCGTCGTCGTCGTCCCGCGAGGGCAGGGCGCAGTCAATATCCTCAACTAGGACAATGCTGCGCTTGGGAATCGTCGCCGTTGCGCGCTGCAAGAACGCGTCATCGACACTAGACCAGAAATTTAGCACAGGTGTACACGAGAAAAGAGGTGCTTACAAGGTCGAGGAGAGGGAGAATGAGTGGATCTCGAGATTGAGCTCGCCGGCCTACGGGGGGTGTGGTGTCAAAGCTGCATCGAGGCGGTCCACAAGCGGCTTACGATCGCGTGGATGGTCGAGCCTATTCTCCGTTAGTACACAGTCTAAATGGTCGCACGACGTACTTTTCCCCGTTCCAGGAGGGCCGTACAGCAGATACCCTCTGCGATGCGGGATCCCCGCTCGGTGATACCACGCCTCTGACGCAAAGAAACCCTTCGCGTCACTGATCAAATCGTCCAGGATGCCATCTTAGGCGCGGTGAGCGTCTCTATTGACGGACCACAGACACAACGATACCTGGCAGGATGATCGATTCGATGGGCCGATGGGGCTTGCGCTTCACGTTCCACAGGAAACTGCCGCCAAAGCTGGGCTGCAATGAAGTAATGATATCAAACTAGGTTTTTGGGGTATGTCTGAGCAGACACCCACCGAGTCGGCGAGGAATATCGTCACGTAAGGCTTGATCTTGTGCTGGTATCCGCGGTGCGCCTCCTCGACCAGCTCCGAGAGCACCGAAAGCTTGCGTGTGAAGACCCTTCATGCCGACGTGAGCGGAAAGGGATGCTTACACAGAGGCCGAGGGACACACGTCAAGAATATGGCCGCGGCCTGCTGCGGCTGGCCACTATTGCCCTGGATCTGTGCACGATATCGCTGGACCTCCACCCAGTAGCCGCGCCAACGGAAAAGCTGTGGCGACTCGTACGTCGGGACATAGTCGGCCGATCCAATGATGTCTGGGTCGGCAGACACAGTTACGCCGTACACGAGTTTCGAGCTCTTGGAGCTGACGCGAAAATCGCGCGCCTGCTGCCACACGTTGTTCTCCGTCTGCGATCGGCACCAGTCTGTATACAGGTCGCCGACGCGTGGCACAAATGGCGCACCAGAAAAAGCACAATCCACTCGTAGGCAGGATCTCCCAGGACAAACTCTGCACTCGTCGCGTACCCTATGAATATAATTAAATTCAACTGGGGCGTCTAATGCATATAATTTTGGCGCGCGCACGGAGTTTGACCCTGTTGTACAACCACACAAATGCCCTCCGTATTGCATCGACCACTGCACCAGCGGCGAGGAGCCTGACCGCGTCGACTATGTAGCCGTATGCCCATGTCTGTTGAATCCGGGTGAGGTCGACGAGCTGCATGGACCCCGGGATGCCTTTAATTTCATCCCACAGAGGGCGACGTCGGGGAACCAGCAAATCGAGGGATTGGCCGGAGGACATGACCGACATCGTGTATACGGGAAGGACGAAGTGCCATCATCAGAGCACGCCTATTTGTATCTAGGTCAAGCGCCCATTTCTTGTGGCGGCTGACTGGCATGCGTGCATGATACTTCGCGCAATTCATTCCGGTGGCAGTCCTAGCTTGAGATCGCATAGGATCAGAAATCCCCGATATCGACCACATTTCTTTCCGCTCCTTCCTGATATTTTCCATGCCGCCGCCTATTGAAAGGACCTTCAGCGTCGGTCAAACAGCGGGAGAAGACCTCAGTATTTCCTCGGGGTGTACGCATGGACTTGGGCAGGCAAACTGTCCGGAACGTTCAAGAGACTTGTCAAGATGCTTGATGTCACTTTGATGTCGTCCCGGTCAAGTCGTGACCGATATCAGAAAAGCCATGTCAGAGCGGGATCTGTGAAGTCTTCTGGAAACCGGAGGCGTCCCAGTGCCAATATACGCTGAAAGCCATAGTCACGAAGTGGGTGTTCGGAATCAAAAAAAAGTCAAGTCTTGACAAATCGGTAGTCTCTCTCGACAGGCTCCCTCTCTCGTGCCTCGTTAACAAATCGGGTGGTATATTCCGAGACCTCATACCGGAGTTTCCAACTTTGCTACTAGCCCCAACCGTCGACGCTATGGAGCAATTAGGAGCAATTCCCTAGAAACTGGCCAGATATCTTCTATTCGGAAACCATCTTCTTTCGTCCTAGTCTGTCTTAGTCTGTCTTAGTCTCGCAAAGCCGACTTTGAATACTCTTGTGGGAAGACAATCGCTCACAAGTTTCGTCCTGGCCCTGCCCTCAACTTGTAGGGCTGCACACCGTCCCGTCAGCGGGGTCGGCCGTCAAATCCTGGCACGAGACGGGTACGGCCCGTCACAAAGACGTTTTATGAGATTTTGCGACCTCGAGACGACCAAAAAGACGGGTACGGACCGTGAAAATGCGGGACGGTCTTGTGTATTCATTCATTCCAGTATTTTCGTCATGTTTGACCACGGTGACCGACTGGAGGAATACGGGGACCGTTGTGATTAATTCTGAAAGTTTCTGCAGTTAAACAGAGTGGCATCCGTGGAGAAGAAAGGCTTCTCGATTGTTGAGTATGACATCACTGCGACAGACCAGGTTTCCGAGTAGATTTCGCTCTCTGAGCGATAATCTGGATAGAAAGACTTGTCAGGTACGTGGTCACATTACAGAAAGAGTACAAAATGTTAATTGAGAACTGACCCGTGTCAGTACGGCCGTCATTTGAACATAGACGGCTACGGACGGTTACGGACGGAAGACGGGGCAACCGTATTAAGTATCCGTCCCGCAAAAAGATCCGCGGAGGTGCGGGGCGGCGGCCCATAAGCGGCAACCCTCACACCCGTAAAGACGGCGACAGTGTGTAACCCTATCAACTTGCCCTCGCATATTTCCGATGGAAGCCATCGCGAAATTTGTAGCTCTCTCGAAATATAGAACCTCCAAATGTCAACCACTCGGGAATGTACGAAGACCAGACTGGACCCTCAACGCAACCTGAAGCATGTCAGCCCTCGTACCCACTCCTCCCCCCGCCACCAAGCTCGGCCAGCTCGCCACGCGCGCATCCATCCACGTCTCTCCCCTGGCCCTTGGCGGAATGAGCATCGGGGACAAGTGGGTACCATGGACAAGGAGTCGTCCTTCGCGCTCCTTGATGCGGGTGGTGAGTAGGATGTTTTACTTGGATTTTCTGGTGAAGCTCAGTAGGGAACCACGTCGATACGGCGAATATACAGTACGCGATTTTTTTGAGCTTGGGATCGGCTAATGTGCAGAATAGTCAGGACGGTAGCTCCGAGGCGATCATCGGGGAATGTGTCGAAGCGCGAGGCAGCAGAGGCCAGCTTGCCATCGCCACCAAGGTAATCATAATATCTCGAATCATCTCATTACGACCATCCCATCCTTCAGTACACATGCCTAGGAAACCCCAGAGATGACTCTGTCAAGCAGAGGAATCTCTATATAGGCAACAACATCATTTATGAGACCTGCACTCGTCCGTGGAGGAAATCATGGACGGGCTGCACCATCTCGTCGCCGTGGGGAAGGTCCTGTATCTGGTAAATGCCATACCAAGGAACATTCAGTTTTTCTCAAATTTTTATCCACACGGAATGGAACGCCGTGGGTCGCACAACTCGAGATCTTCAAGTTCTAATATTCACACTCTCAGATTTGTCGTATTCCAAGCGCCATACTCAGTCACCCAACGCGATATCGAGCGCGAAATTCTCCCCATGTGGCATCACGAAGGTACCTGCCATCCCGCAACCTCCGTTTCAATCATACAGCACAAATTAACCGACAACCAATCACACCGGCCTCGCGCTGACGCTGTGGAACGTCCTTGCGACGGGCTGCATCGGGAGCGACGCCGAAGAAGAGCTGCGCCACTCGACCGGCGAGCAGAGCCGCGGCTGGTTCGTGCCCTGCTCTTTATTCATTGGGAAACACTGAACGTCATCGCATACACAAAGCGCCGTTCGTATTCCCCATCGTCGGTGGGCGCAAGGTCGAGCACCTCATGGCGAACATCGAGGCGCTCGATATTATGCTGTCCGCAGAACAGATCGCGTATATTGAGGGCGTCCTCCCGTTCGATAAGGGCTTCCCCACTACATGACGCTGTAAGTCGCGTTGGATTCCGAAACTACGTACATTAACATTCATTCGCCCCTCCGGGGGCGGAATACGGTGGGCCCTACTCGTTCTCCATGTCATCGCATGCAGTATATAATCCGCAGCCGCTTTTGCCGCCCATTTCGGCCTCGTCGAAGTAGAGAGATCAGTTGAATTTATAAAAACAAATTCGTCTGGGACTAATCCAACCCGAATCGAATATATGTTGTGCTGTCTTTCACCAAAACCAGATTCTATCTTCCCCATCACTGTTGTAATTCCTTCGGTGTCGGAGATCCAGTATGGTGAATCCAACATCCATTGAACGACCGCGTAGCTCAGTTGGAAGAGCACCAGACATGATTCCTGAGGGTCCTAGGTTAAATCCCTGTCATGGCCACTCTTTTATTCATCACTCCGGTCTGTTCCTATCGGCGCCACCCGGTACCCGAGAATTATCTTTTCGGGAAATCAAACCACGTGGCGGAGGTTGCCGTCTCAATCTGGTCAACGTCCTCTCAATCCAACAGCTCAAAACACGATCGAAGCACATTTTTTCTGCAACTTCTCCGCCATGCCCAAAGACTCGCTCATCGACGCGCATGTCTCCCTGAAGCAATGCAAGCTTGCCGTGGAGGCCCTCCATGCGCACGCAGCCAAGGCCGCCGAAAAGCAGCAAGAGACGGAGCTCCTCCCCGGAAAAGAGCAGAACATCTGGCTGAACGTAACCGTCAAGAAAATCGCCTCGGCGCATAAGTTCAAGCCCGTCAAAATGTACAATATGTGTTCCATGTAGGGAGTGTACGCACCACTGACTTTCCGCCATTGTAGCTCCATCGTGCACCCGCTCGTCGACCCCCGCACCTCGGCGATCTGCCTGATAACCAAGGACCCGCAGCGGAAGTACAAGGATCTCCTGGCGGAGAACAACATCAAGTTCATCTCGCGCGTGGTCGGCATCGAGAAGCTGAAGGGGAAATTTAAGCCGTACGAGGCGCGGCGCATGCTCCTCAAGGAGAACGGACTCTTCCTCACTGACGAGCGGATCGTCCCCCTTCTGCCCAAGCTCCTCGGCGTAAAGTGGTTCGAGGCAAAAAAGTGCGGCCCTCCCTCACCTCCATGTCTGGGCGTAACGACGACTCGCGTGCTGACTGTATAATGTAGACAGCCCATCCCCGTTTGTCTGACGCGCAAGGATCTCAAGGGCGAGCTGGAGCGTGCCATATCCTCCACGTACATGAACCAAAATCAGGGCACTTGCACGTACGTCCTCCTCTACTCCCCGCGCCGCATTCAATTGACGCGTTACTTTAGCTCAATTAAAATTAGCATCATGTCGCATAAGCCCTCGCAAGTGCTCGAAAATCTGCAGGCGGCGCTCCCTGCGATCGTCCAAAATATCAAGGGTGGCTGGGACAACGTCCAAAGCCTCCTCCTAAAAACGAACTCGAGCGCCGGGCTGCCAATATGGAGCTGCGACCTCGGCGACGGCGAGGGCGGGCGCTGGGGTGGGCTCGCCGCGCCAACGGACGAGGAGACAAGTTCTTTGGACGCGGATGACGAGATGGACATTGTCCAAGAGAAAGCTGGCAAGGGGAAGAAACGCGCGGTCGCCGAGGAGGCGCAGGCGGAGGAGCCGAAGAAAAAGGCCAAGGGTGCCAATGGTAAAGCATTATCTTCCCAGGGTGCCTCTTCCTCCGACAAGCTCGGGAATGCCGTACCAGCCAATGGCGATTCACCTCCCAAATCGAAGAAGCGTAAGGCGTCACTGGGCGTCGTGGGCGCGGGCGCGGTCGCGGACGTTACTGCTCCGACGGGATCCCCTGCGGGATCCAAAGATGGCGCCGCGCGGAAATCCAAGGTTTCGCTAAACGCAAACGCAAATACGGGTGAAGAAAAGAAATTTACGGCAGCGGGTGCTGACGTGGTGACGCCGAAGGGCAAGAAAAAAGCGAAATCGCACACCGAAGATGCAGATGGTGCCCGGGCTGTGGAGCAAAAGAAGGAGAAGGCGGCGAAAGCGGGCAAAGGAGCTCCTTCTGACGCTCCGCGTGGATCTGAAACTGAGGTGACCCCGGCCTCCAAGAAAAAGCGCTCGAAGACGAACAAGGAGGAGCTGGGGCTTCCGACGGATGACACTGCCTCGCCGGCCACCCCTTCTGATACGAATACGAAAGAGGGGAAGAAGGGGAAGGGGGGTAAGGCGATTTCACCCGCACCCAAGGCGGCTGTGCCGTCGTTGACCAATGACGAGCTGAAGCAGAAGCGGGTCGGGAAGGCGGGCGAGAAGAAGAAGGAGACGATTCTCAAGGGCAAGAGCGGGAAGAGCGCAAAAGATGGGATCATTGGGAAAAAACGGTAGCGGTAGCATCCCGCCTTTGATACCCTTCGTTGTCTCCGGAGAATCCACGATTTCTTGCGACTCTATTTTGCTGTACATACTGGTTTTTGACCTTCCTAAGTTGTTCCTAAGTTCCTAGGGGTTGGATCGCCTTGTATCACGTGTCTAATTCCGGGATCGGAGTAACCGCGATGAAGTGGAGACTCTCTTCTGCCCCTTGCTCTGGGTTTTCTGGAGACTCTCCATGGCGGAGCGCTCATCGACCAAGCTCTTGATCCCGCACTCATCTGCCCCGGAATGTTCCATTACAGGCGTCCTGGAACAGCTTGACGCGGGAAAATCTACCCACGGCCGCAAGATAGCCATAGTCAGTCCTGCGGGGCCTTTCCGCCGTTGTCAAGCGCATTGCTTATGTTTCCGCTAGATCCTACATGGTTCGATGGGGTAAGCGCTGCGCTGCAATGTATCCATCAGACAGCACAGGAAACATAATGAACCTGTCAGGCACAAGGATTATTTGTTTCAACGGCGCCTCGCCCAAAGACTCTCTCAGGATTCATTCAGATTCGATTTCCGGTATGTGTCCATTGTCAGCCTCCCACGCTGGTTACCTGCTAATCCCTCCCCAGCGGTAATCATGAGTCTCCCGGTGTCTGGTGCTATGGGGCGTTCCAGGACGACGTCGACGACCTATGCGTAGTCGTGCAGTACCTACAGACGGTGTACGGATATGTCGTCGATATGGTCGTGGGTCATTCGCGCGGCTCGATCGTTGGCATGCGCTGGCTCTGCACGGCGCCCGAGGCGCGCAACGTCACGAACTTTATAAACGCTTCGGGTCGCTACCGGATGGTAAATGAATTTCAGAAATAGCGCGTCTTCCGCAGCACTAATCACCGTTCATTATGCAGAATAAAGTTCTCGGTCGGCCATCCGTTAATTGCGCCGTCCGTGATGGCTGATTGGATCCTGTGCAGAAAGTGAGCATCTAAAAATCTGGCAAGACGGGTTCGCCGCGGACGGGTACTACGATTGGACAACCACGGTCGCCCGGAAGCCTGTAACGGTCAGGGTACACCCAGCGGACGTGGACCTGTTCGTCAGCTGGGATACATCGCTCGTCTGGGACAAGTTTCCGGCGAATATTCATGTTTTGACGATACACGGCTTATCAGATAAAACCGTTCCTCCGTGCGCACTCCGTTACTTCGCGTACTTGGTTGATACTGACCCGCCGCTGCCCGGGTATAGTTATGATGCTCTCATCTATGCGCGGGCACTGGGCACTCGATCTCCGGGGACGCATACGCTGCATATGGTCGAGGACGCGGATCACAACTTTACTGGAAACCAGGATCAACTCGTGGACTATATGCTCGAGTGGCGGGACCTGCATGAGCAGGGGGAGCTGAAGTCCTCGGGACTGTGGAAGACGGGTGTTAGAGGCAAGCTATAATTCCATTATCGTGTACTTATTTTGGGTGTATAGACGACGCGCGTTGTTGCTCAGGGAACTACTGCTCACTAAGCTATAAACTCAATCAGTGGCCTGAGTCAGGGCCACCGATTGATTCCCCGTAATCATTGGGTCACCTAGACCGTCACAGGAACTGGAATCCACGGCCGTTTCGACTTGGTGGCCTCGAGGTTGAGGAATCAAGCTCCTACCGCCCTTCGTCCCGACTCGGAAATGTTACATTTTAGTCCATCTCCGAGGCAGTCACCGATGCTATCTTTTCATGGCCACGAGGTGCATGGGAACATAAATGATGATTAGGGAGGTGCGTCTGTGCTGCTACATTCCGTTTGTATGTCGTAACTAATAAATAAGTGTATGTGCCTAGCAAAAGACTCCAGGTTCCTGATGGGATATGATACAGTAATGGTATGTCCGTTTGTTTCCGTGATCTGCAAGAAGAAATTTGACGATCGGAGCGATCAAGATGCAATATCCCCAAAAAAATTATGCCTCCGTCGTGTCGCGAGAAGTCGAATAGGGCGAATATGAGGGTGGGCGGCGGGATTGAATGATAATATTAGGTGTGTGGTTGTGCAGAACGATGGGCGTCGGCGCGCTGAAACTGTGTGTCCAGCAGGCCGTGAATTATCGCGTCGTCGCGTGGTGATATGGTATGCGTGTGTGGTGGCTGCCGTGGGCGTGGCTAGAAGAATACCGGGCCCGTGGACGAGGCTCCGCCCTTTACTCCCGACCCCGAGCCCTGTCCAGACGACGAGGGCTTTCCAGATGATGATTGTCCGGCCATTGTAAGCGAGAGGGCGCGAAGTGTGCAAAGAGGGAAGACGCGGTCTTTGGTGTGGTAGGGGAGCCCACGAAATGAGGCGACGGGAAGATTGGGTTGGGGGATATCTGGACTGGAAGGGATTGCTTTTATACTCTTTTCGGACGGCATACCAAGTATTCTGACTCGATTTGGAAAGCACTTGTCACGGACCCGTCACTCGTAAGCATCGCGCCGAGTTGACGGTGAGAAGAAACGGCGAACGTTTGAATCTGATATCGGGAGTCTTTTGAGTTTCAATGAAGTAAGGAGTTAACGCCGTTGCACCGCAACACTGGCCTACTTCGACTGACTGAAAAAAAAGTAAACAATCAGGCACCCACATAAATTGCTGCACTGCCCCCGGACGCTGACCGGGAACCTCCGCGCGTTAATATGGCAAGCGTCTCGCCCTCGGGCAGTAAATCCTTCCGTGTTCTTGTTGCAAGGAGTCAAACCGGAACGAATTCCAACTCGTATATTACTTGCTTCCACTTGACCCTTGGGTTTAATACGTGGTTGCATAACGCAATACTCGAAAGCTACGCGGGAACCTGTGTAGTCCGGCGTTCATTAAACTGTCTTGCTCGCGTGGGCGGAGCAGAAGTACAAGATCTATTCTGCGGAAATATCGGTAATAGTGTCGGTGTCGGTCCAAATGCCAGTGGCGATTAAATGGCATGCGAATTCCTCCCCAGATTAGGGCGACAATCGGTAACAGCCCTGTTTGATCTCAATATTGCATGACGGACCATTGATGCAATCGGGCCCTTAATGAAA